TTCACACATGGTCAACACGTATCAATCGTGTCTCCAATTTTTAATTACATGTCTGCTATAATTATTACAAGTTTTAATTGATACAAAACCGACTTATTGAGATTATTTTTTTTTTTTCCAGATTGTATAGTTTATATTCTATATAATTTCATTTGGAGTTTTTTTTAAAAAATTTAATCCACATGGAAACAATGTTATAGTCTAATAATCTGTCTATAACCTACTAACGATTTAAAAATTTATTTAATTTTAATAGTTAACTTAATTAAATAATTAATTTTCTCATTGAAAAGTCACCGCTACTTTTGCAATTAAACCTTTATAAAATTATTCTATGATAATATGCACAAAATTTTCATACAGGAAAAAATAAATTTGCAAAAAAAAAAAAAAAAAAAAAAAAAAAGGAACTGGAAGAACACAACAACGTTGGTGTAGCTTTTGGGTCTCTGCTGTGATTTGTTATGCCTGCGTGTACGATCCCATCCCACCTTTACTTTATTCCGCCGACCATCCTCCTCTCTTCTTCCTCTTACAGGTGGCCTTCCTGCGGGACCCACTCTCCAGATAGACCGTACCATCCTCACACGCCTCCTTCCCTCGCACGTGTGCTGTCGGCCTCCAAAACGACTTGTTTCGATTCTCTACACGAATCCCTACTTTCCTGCTTTTACACCTCCACACGTGTTCTCCATCCGACGGCTTTGCTTTAGCCCTTGGATCCGTGCCGGCTTCTCCTTTGGTACACGATTAGCACTTTATTCTCTCTTTAACTAGACTGATTAATTAATTAATTAAAATGGGAAAAGCTGATCAATAATTATTATATAATTAATTAAAGTCTTTTTTATAAAATAATAAAAAAAAAATTGTTTAGTCGAGTGCGACAGTAAAAGAGTCAAATCTTTAAGGACGTATTTCTATTTTATTAAGAATAAATCACATTGTTTTTTGGCTACTAATTTTGAATATTTTCTATTATTTAATACATATAACATTATGATTATTTAATTTTAATTGTATTACTAATTATTTAGTATATATTGTTTAAAAATCTAAAAATTAAAAACAAAAGAAAAGCGTAGATTTAGGCGGAAAACACGGTCATGTAAACATTTTTAGATTAATTAAAACCTTCTTTACAGCTTTCTTAAACTTTTTCCACATAAATCCCCCGGAAAACTCAAAACCATTAGTATTTATTATTTGGAGCGTAATGCCGCTGGATTTGATAATTAAAGAAGAAGATTAAGCTTTAAACTTGAGTTTAAATTAATTAATTAATTGAAGCCAAATAATTTGTATAAGATATCTCCGATCCCAATAGATCCCAAACACAACATATTAACTAGTTGTTCGACAACAAATGTCAAAATTTCTCTTGTCACTTGTCAGTTATTAGGTTATAATAATAATACATGTACCCGACATCCAATATGCATCGTGTTTTTTTTTTTTCCTTTTAAGTTAAGTTTAATTACTTTGTAAATATAATTTAATATTAATAGTATGTTTAAATTATTTGGGTATTGTTTTTTTCCTTTTGGCTTCTCTTAGCTATCCTTTAAAAAATTATTTTTTTACAGCAGAATTATTATAAATTTTTTCTTTTACAGTTATCGAAAAAAAATATTAATTTTTATAGAGTATGTTAAGGATAAAATGTAATATTTTGTTAGAGAATAGTGTATACTAATTGCTCTATTCTTAAAAGTAATAATAATAATTGATCACGATTTTTATTTAATTCGTCACATGTAATTTTACAATGATTTCGTTTATCTTAAATTTAGTTATATATAATTATTATTTTATATTTTTAATTTTAGTTATAAACTTAACAATTAGACAACATTAATGCCAAATTTACAACATCTAATTTTCAAGTGAGAACTACCATATAAGTAGTGCATAATATTTGATAATTAAAGTCACCAGCCAATATGCCCTTAAATATTGATACTAAACTTATATTATCGTATCATAATTTCTATATCATATTTTAGTTATAACCATATTAAAATGTCATTTCATCTTTTTGACACCATATGTTAAAGAGATATACTAATATATATTTAATCATGCGTAGAGTTGAGGAGAACTCTTTGTTCTTTGCATTGCATGTAGACATTGAAAATTTTCAACTACTCTTTTGTTTGTCAACTTATTCTCTTTGCTAAATTTAGTGTCAAAATAATTCGTTTAGATAAATCTAGAAGCCACCATTTGCTTATTCTAGAAGATAGTTGTTTAATATGCTTGTTATTTATCAATCCCTACTCTCATATGCCAACACTCTATAATATATCGACCTTCACTATTATCTATTAATTTAAATAAAAAAAAATCCTCCAAGAATATAATATGTCATGTTTATAATTTTTTATATATTAGATATTATATTTATATATAATATACATCTGGTATAAATATATTATATTTAAAATAAATAAATCTGATAAAAATAGTTAACAGTTCAGCTTCTGTTAATCATAGTTTTTTAAAATTAAAACTTAAATCAAACACATGCAAAAATATTAGTTTGAAGTGGTTTGATTCTACTATTTTGATAGGTTAACACACCTCTGATGTGCAGCAGCATAACCCTTAGATCATGCAACAATTGGTCCCACGAATAAAGCTCCAATACTACATTAACTTTCACTAAGACTAGATTAGAGAATAATAATCTCAATTGCAGTCCGTCTATAGACAACTTCAATGAAATAGTCTTCAAAGTAGAGCTGAAGCTGGTGCTAATAATATTCAGCAAATGACAACCAATCCATCCAACAATGAGGTTAGTCGCTGTATAAGCATTTAGAAACATTTCAATGGCCATGTTTGCCACCTTCGTGTTTCCATTTGATTGGTGATAATACATGGACTATAAATTGTATATCCACCTTATCCGTTCAGCAAGGCCAAGATAAAAAGAGAACTTTATATGAATTTTAATTTGAAATTGAAATAACATGTTTTAACAAATAATTTCCATTTTATATTAAATTTTGTATGAGATAACTTATTTTATTATTTGAATAGTACTTGTAATGTGAAAAATATTTACAAAATGTATAAATTAATTCATTCTTAATTTCTTGGTTTCTCAATTTTTGTTATCATTTTAGAAAAAATGAAAAAGAAAAAAAAAGGGAAGAAAAAAGAAGAGATACGGTTGATTAGGGAAAAAATTCTGGAAGATTAAGACCCTAATCCAAATAAAATCAGAATCTTTTACATTCAAAGGTGCATAAAAAAAGATCCAAATATTCACTATTCTTCTACTGCAAGTTATTGCTCTAATTTTTTTTTATTATTTTTATTATCATTCAACGTGTGATAAAATATTCCTTCTCACTAATTTCTATTTCAATAAATTATTAAGAATTATTTAAAAATAAAATAAGACAATTAGCATATTTAAAAATAAATTTTAATTTATTATGTTTATTTACCATTTTTTTTTTAAAAAAAGAAAAAAATAAAATATTTCAGTGTAAATAAATAACTTTTCTTTTGGAACACGTAGAAGACTTTAAGACTTCGGAGAGTGTTATGAGTCTCTCTCTGCCATCTAGAATTTCGAGAGTTAGGCATGCAGAGGCGAATCTTTAACATTTTGTCAATGCCAACAATAAATTATTATAATTAAATCTTACTTTCTAATAATAATTTTTCAATAATTAATAAATAATTTAATGAAAAAGTTGTTAATTATACATTAATCAGATTTTATTTTTAATTTTTTAAATGTTTTTTCAAAATTCATTAATTGGCTATTTTATAGAAAAAAAGTGCAGTTGTTGCATATTTTTATACATGTGTGTGTAGATATACAGAAGTAGAATGGATTAAAGTTGGAATTTAATAAGCTTTTGGGAAGCAACGAATTTCAATTAAATAATTATTTTGGTCTCTTTATCATTTTTCAACTTTTATTTTATACAAAAATACATATAGTTGTCTGTCCATGAAGGTGTAAGTGTAATGCCAGGTGGATGCTGCACAGTAATTGGGGCACACACCTAATTCCTCTAACTGCTCTCTCATAGGACACCTGTTACTCTTCCTTTTTTTTTTTACTTTCAATTAAATTACATTTTTTTTTTTTTTACAAGAAATCAACAAGCAAGTTGCAGAATAATAATAGAGGGGAGGGGAGGTATTTGAAAATTAGAAGTGGAAAAGGGAGCAGTTAGCAAATAATTTCACAGATTAGCAGCCGGTTTTGGGCTGTTTGTTTTGCTTTACCCCCAGTTTAGGGGTGACCCTTTTCTATCTTAGGAAGCCCTTATTCTTATTTCAGTGTCTCAACACCCTGGCTCTGCCTTTAGGATAATGTGGGTTCTGTAGCACCTAACCTTCCCAATTAAGTGAATACAGCCCCGTGATTTGGGTTTTTGCCCCCATCAATTATTTCTTTCTCTCTCTCTCTTTTAACATTTTAAATCTCCAATCAATGTTGACATTGGGTGTATATGATTTTTAAATTAATAAAAATTGATTGCTGAAATAAAAACTGAAATTTTTATTTGTCAATTGGGAAAAAGAATAAGAAGAGAAGTGAGAAGTAACGCGCATGAAGCTGTGATTATGAGTTGAGTTGATATACACGTGGCCGAAGCCCATGATAGATGATTCAGCCAAGGAATGTCGGCCACGTGGCGAGGCAGTTAGGGAACCTCTTTTTGGAGTCGGATTGAGAAGACGGCTGGAGAACAAAATAAAAATAAAAATAAAAATAAAAGATTGACTGGCGACTGACGAGGCTCCATCTCCCTCTCCACCATGTCCATGCGGCATGCTCCTTCCTTGCCCCTCCAGTGTGGGGACCACCTGGGGAGGGGGTGGTGTGGGACCCACTAAACTGAGGTTTTTGGGGGCGGGTCAGTTGTGGGACCCGCAAGTGGGGGGTTGTGGGTCCCGTTCCCATGGTTCTCGTCCGTTAGTGTCTGGTTTGCAACTATAAAATCGACCGCTCGGGCTCTGTCTCTCTCACACACATTCTCCATTAACAAATCTTAGTGGCCTCTTTGTTTAGTCTTCAATCTTCACTTCTCTTTCTTTCTTTCATTCTTTCTCCTTGTCCAATCTTTCGGAGCTTGAGGGGTCATAAACAGAGCACTCTGTTTTTTCAATCACCTCCTCTTTCACCAACCCACCAAACATTATTCATTCCTAGTCCTAACAATCCCTTGTCTTCTTCAAGTTTTTTTTGAAGAGAATTCTTTCCAAAGCCTCAATTTCCTCTAATGGGTATGTCAGTTTCTGATTCGCTCATCTGCTTGGACGTAGGAACTGGACTTCAGTTTTTCTTCTATAAACAAGAAATGTGATTTTTTCTTCTCTGGGTTGTTGTTTTGTAGTGAGTTTCATTGAAGAGAGAACGAAGATGACAAGTCAAAATGTGGTAATCTCTGATGCCAAATCTGGTCTCAACATGGCCATCACTGTCGCCGTATCCAACTCCTCTATTTTCACAGCCGCCGCGCAGAAGCCACCTCCGCCGCCCGGCTACATCGCCTTCTCCAGGAAGAAGCTGCTGAACGTCGAGATTAATGGAGGCGCCAGAATAAATGCTTGGGTGGATTCAATGAGGGCTTCTTCCCCTACCCATATCAAATCTACACCTTCTCTTGCCGATGACCAGAGTTCCTGGATGGTAACTGATCCTACCTCTCTGTCTTCCACCTTTGGTCCCATATAAAAATGGCGAATCTCATAGTCTCTCTTTTTTTTCGGAAATCAAAAAACTTGTTTGCAGCTTCATCATCCGTCAGCTCTAGACATGTTTGAGCAGATAATTGATGCTTCGCAAGGGAAACAAATAGTCATGTTCTTGGACTACGACGGCACACTTTCCCCCATTGTTGATGACCCAGATCGAGCTTTCATGTCCAAAAAGGTCTATTCTCTATTCAACCGCTATCTGTTTCTGTTCATCCGATTACCCGGTTGATTTTACTGAGTTTATTCCCCGCGTATATGCAAATTCAGATGAGAAGAACAGTAAGGAAATTAGCTAAATGCTTCCCTACTGCTATTGTGAGTGGAAGATGCAGAGACAAGGTGCATTTCCAAGCCCTCCACTGACATTTTTTTTGGTGTTGCTATTTTGATATGGAAACTAAAAAGGGTAGCTGGGTTGCAGGTGTATAAGTTTGTGAAACTAGCAGAACTGTACTACGCCGGAAGTCACGGCATGGACATTAAAGGACCAGAGAAGGGGTCTAAGAACAAGAAAGTAAGTCGACCAGAACAGACAAATTCAATCTTTCGTAATATGTTGAGAAAACCAACTATATCCACTGATTTCCCATTCTTGGTCTGCAATTTCAGGACAGTGAATCTGTTCTGTTCCAACCCGCCAGTGAATTTCTTCCCATGATCGATGAGGTTTGTCGTTGGATTCTTGTACCACATACAATGAAAAAAAGAAAAGATTCAGAGAGATAAGATAAGACGTTAACGTTTTTATCATTTTCTCTGGTTGACTCTGTTTTTGTTTTTTCATTTTGTAGGTTTACAAACAACTGGTTGAGAAAATCAAATCAACCCCAGGAGCCACGGTGGAGAACAACAAGTTCTGTCTTTCTGTTCATTACAGACGGGTAGATGAAAAAGTAAGAAACTGGAATAATATTATAATTTGTTAAAAGTAATTAGAGAAAAACAGAGGTTAATAATTAAAAGTTGAAAATGCAGAGATGGAATGAATTAGCACAGCAGGTTAAGTCAGTGTTGAAGGCGTACCCGAAGCTTCGATTACTCGGGAAAGGAAGTGTGATTATTTGCCGGAGTGATAGTATAATATTTATAAATGTGAATTTAATGTGGTACAAGTGAAAATG